ATCACTCAGAAACATAGCAGAGGAGCTGCTTGATCATCACTGACAGAAACAACTTAGAGTTGGCTACACTGGACTTGATTGGACACAGGGCCGGCTCCAGGCACCAGCGTAGCAAGCTGGTGCTTGGGGCGGCACATGGAAGGGAGCAGCACGTCCGGCTCTTCGGCTCCGGGTCCCTCACTCCCTCTCGGCAGGAAGGACCTGTCGCCGAATTGCCGCCGAAAAAGCGGCGGCGGTAGAGTCGTGGCGGAAGTGCCGCAGATCGGGACTTTTTTTTTTTTTTTGGGCTGCTTGGGGCGGCAAAAACCCTGGAGCCGGCCCTGATTGGACAGGATGCAGGTACAGAATGGTGTACATATAAATTCAAGTTAAAATGTGCTGGAGAATCTGATCCTGCATCAATGAGAATGCTGCTGAATAGCTGCCAAGTCACTCCTCCGTAGTGGCAAAAATTTGGTCAAGGAAAAGAGCAAACAGATAAGCAAAGCACCTAATTTGCAAACTGAGATTCACATTTAAGCCTATGTCTTCCACTCTTTGACTTGTCCTTTTTTAACCCATTGCTCAGGAGAGTAAGGGACCAGATGCAGAAGTGGCTTGAGTAGTAGCATGGAGGATTATAGTTAGTCCTGAACATTATGCAAGGATTTGAATGATCAAGGCCCAAAACTCATAATTTTAAAACCCCTTTTCGTAACCTTATCAAACTTCCTGAAAAGATAATGTACCCAGGGATGAGATGTGGTGTGCAAAATTTCAGAAAGAACTTTTCTTTTTGGAGGAGCTAGGGGGTAGATATTTGACTACTTCTAATGGAGCTTTTACCTTAACTATGGGGCAACTCCATGTGCTTTCGACCACATTTCCAAAGGAGCCAGGTTCATTGGGAGTTATTGAAGCTCAACACCTCTGAAGATCAACTCATTACTGTTCTTGTTGGGCCTGATCCTCCAAGGTACCCAGGCCCAGTTCCTCAAAGGTATTTAGGTGCCTAACTCCCATTGAAATAATAGAATATTCTGGTGCGGATCTCCCTCAATCTCTCCACTTGAAGTTGTTCCATTTTAATTAAATAATTAAATATTAATTGAGTCACATAGTTAGAATGACTCTACTGCTTAGTGGTTAAAGCACTGAACTGCAAGGTGGCAGATCCCCTTTCAAATCCCTTTTACGTATTGGGCAGAGGGGGGTCTAAAACTAGGAGTCTCTCCTATTCCACCTGCATACCCTAACCACTGGGCTAGTAGTCTCATCCCCTTCATCCCTTGCTGTTTTGTGTGAACTCACCTGAGGAGCCCAATCTGGTAGGCAGCCTTTGAGCATGCCCACTGCATCAAATCCCGGCCCCGCTCCAAACTTAAACAGCCAAACACGTATCTTCCTCTGGTTTGTGAATCACTCTGGGGCTTAGGCAGGAGGTAGGTACTGTGACAAAGTTCCTCCTCCATCTTGGTGGGTCCTGCGCTTATTGGCAGATTTTCTTGCCTCAGAGATTCACCATGTGGGTTGGGGAACAGCCCAGAGACCTTCCCCTCTGAAAGAACCCACAGTCCAGGTCAATTGGGAGGTTTGGGGGGAACCCGGGCCCGCCCTCTGCTCCGGGTTCCAGCCCAGGGCCCTGTGGACTGCAGCTGTCTATAGTGCCTCCTGTAACAGCTGCATGACAGCTACAGATCCCTGGGCTACTTCCCCATGGCCTCCTCCAAACACCTTCCTTATTCTCACCACAGGACCTTCCTCCTGGTGTCTGATAACGCTTGTGCTCCTCAGTCCTCCAGCAGCATACCCTCTCACTCTCAGCTCCTTGCACCTCTTGCTCCCAGCTCCTCACCCTCACACTCACACCACAAACTGAAGTGAGCTCCTTTTAAAACCCAGGTGCCCTGATTAGCCTGCCTTAATTGATTCTAGCAGCTTCTTCTTAATTGGCTCCAGGTGTCCTAATTAGCCTGCCTGCCTTAACTGGTTCTAGCAGGTTCCTGATTACTCTAGTGCAGCCCCTGCTCTGGTCACTCAGGGAACAGAAAACTACTCATCCAGTGACCAGTATATTTGCCCTCTACCAGACTCCTGTACCCCACTGGTCTGGGTCTGTCACAGTACCCAGATACCTAGAATGAGACAGCAGTGCACATGTCCACAGGCAGGAACACAGGCGCATAGGGAACTTTTACTGCAAAAACATAGGTGCTGTGTGACTTTAGCCACTTATAAGGTTATGTGGCAGCCAAGCAGGAGTTTGGTGAATCTCAAATTGGTGCCAAAAACTGGGACTTAGGTGCCTAAGTACCTTTATGGATCCCACCCTTAACTTCTTTGTGCCTCATATCCCCATCTGTAAAATGAAAGTAATAATACTTCCTTTCTCCCACTCTTTGTCTTGTCTATTTAGATTGTAAGTTCTTTGGGGCTGAGACTGTCCCTTAAAATGACTATGTATCATGTCTAGGACACTGAGGCTTCTTGGTGATGCTGTAATACAAATAATAATAAAAGCAAAAATTGTTAAAATGGTACTATCAGTTATTGGATATTTAGCAGGTTCAGCTGGCATAACTAAACAACCTCAAACCAGTACTTATTTACAACCATCCTTACTCTGTTATATTATGCATCTGATTTTCCCCAGTGGAATACATTCAATACATGTATCAAACAAATATGGTCATCATGCCATTTAGAAGTATTTGTACAGCTGGAAAGTTGCCAGGAAATGGCATGTTTTGCTGATTGGATAAAATCACAGAGTGGTATAGAATCTTTCCAGCTATTTCAATTTAAAATCCAGTTCCTAAAGGGTAATTTGAAACAACAGCTCACTGGCCTGGGATAGGACAACTCCAACTGGAACCAATGATGCATATTACTGAATCTCCATTTACATTAACCCTGTCTGCCAAGTTGGCTTATTAATTGGTGTGCCATAAATTCTCTAGCATGATACTACTGCTCTTAAATATATACTGTGGGTGAGACAAATTTCTACTCTCATCAATATCTCAAATCCTGTACTTTTGCAGTTAAGATTTTCAGTATTGGGAAATATGTCCACTGTGAAGTTTCAGTGGTCGCTGCTGTAATGCAAGCAGTTGCTGTGGGACTGTCTCCATTCTGCCCTTTCAGTTACAATATGGCACTCATCACTAGCAACTAGTTTCCATGCTATTCCTGCTAATTGTGCCCTGCTGCACCAATCTGTCAAATTAGTCCCAGGTTGACTCAGACATTAAAAAGTTCCCTTCTGCTTGTATTCCCTGGAAAATACAAATGTATTTTAAAACAACAAGATTAAACTAGTGAAAAACAACAATTTTAGAAAATAACTACGAATCTGGTTTTGCCTTTGGTAAGGCATCATATTATTTTTATTTATTTAAAACACTAACGGTTTATAACTTCAGGACCACTCAGGATAACAACATATCACCTTGGTTTAATATATAGAATTATTTCTATTTCCTCTTCTCATCACATCATGAAAACCTTTAAAAATTACATTAAAATTAATGCAAGAAAGGTGTTGTTTCTCACGAGAATATGTATTCTAAATGAAACCCCAATTTCCTACAGCAATTCCATCTATTGCAATCATTGCTTTCAATAGATGGTGCTGTTTTCTCAGAGAAAGTTATTGTAATCTGATTTCTCCCAAATGTTAGACAAATGTAAGGAGCAAATTTCATTCCTCTCTTACTTGCCTTGTATTAAGAAATCTGATTTGCAAGTGTAGAGGACTCAGTCATGAAGCAACTGCAACTTATTTAAAAAAACGCTTTAAATCTTAAATGGCTCCTTTGAATAACAGTTGTCCCACTAGTAAATATATTTATCTGGAATTTGGAATATCTGTGAGAAAGCTAAGAAAGATTGCAACAACATCGAAAAAGAAGGAATTAGTTTTAATGGGCCCGATCCTTTCCTTAGTAGAGGTCAGTGGGAATTTTGCCATTAATTTTAAGGGGGAGACTACAGAGCCCCAGGAAGAAAGGTAGGGGTGTGTGTGTGTGTGTGTGTAAAAGGTTAGGTGTTATAATATTCACGTCTGTGTAGTGTTAAAGAATCACAGTTTTAATCCTTCTGTCTCCTTAGCTAATATGCTAGAGTTCCCTGTGAAAGCACATCACAAATGTTCTGAGCAAATGCATTTATCTCCACTTATTTGTAAGCATTTGTTCTGGACTCTCAGGTAGTGATTATCAGATTATAAATCACACAGTCATGAAGATTATAAATTGCCACCTAAACAAGTAGACCTCACTTTTGCCTCTGTGGCGCGTTGTGTTAATTTCTTTCTCTCTAATTTATTATTATTCCTTTAGTCAGCTCACCTCTGACCCTTGCTGAAATTTCCTTCATCAGGCAGAAAGGTCCGTTGCCTTCCTCTGATCTGATTTTTGTGAAATATTTTTCTCTCACTACCAGACCTAGCGTGCAAATTTTCCCCAGCACCTCTTCAGTTTACCCCTAGCAGAGGCGTCATGCCTCCCATAGGGTATTTTAGCAATATATTAATATTGTCTGCGATTAGCCACAAAGCAGAAAGAGGAAAACGAAGAGGTCTGTCTAAAAGATCCTCCCGTCCCGTGTCTCTGAAGCAGGAAGAGGCAACTTGCAAGAATCTCAGACCCTCTCCAGGTGGCCAGCACAACCGGGACGGGAGAGTCAGAGCTTGGTGTGGAAAGTATCTCCAAGCAGGACCCTACTTTCAGCCGAGCCAATTCAAGAGTGATTCCCCCGCCCCCCTTCCAGCCAGCCTCATCAAGGCAAAGACATCCTGTCCCCTCTCTCCCCACCCCGGTGTCAAGCAATCGCACTGTCTGGCGCCATGTAGCTGCTCCCGGGTTGCGAGCGGTGCCGAGGAAAGTGACTAATAAGAAAAAGAGTTTGGTGCTTTATAGCCTCCCTGGTCTCTCTCCCTCCGGCCCCCAGCCTCCGTGCGTGAACAGCTCCCCCTGGTCCCGGGGCAGCCTCCTTCTGCCCCCTGCCCAGCCCCTTACCTGATGATGACATACATGACCAAGAAGTTGCCGAAGAGCCCCACCACGCACACGACGGAGTAGAGAGCCATGATGGTGATGGCTGTGATCATGGAGGGGCTGACCCCGCTGGCCGGGCACGGGCTGCCGCTGCCTCCCCCCTGGCTGCTGTTGGTGCCGCTGCAGGGGTCGGACTGGTTCCAGCCGGGCTCCTCCGGGCGCCCGGACAGGTTGCCCCAGACGCCCGGCGGCAGGGGAGGGCAGCCGGCGGAGGGAGGCGCGAAGGGGCCGCAGGCGCTGGAGTTGGCGGGGAAGGAGCTGTCCATGGTGCTGGGCGGAGGAGAGCGCAGGACGCGCTCCCGAGCAGCAGGTAAACCGCGGGGCGGGCAGCGGGCGGGCTCAGCGGCGTCCCTCGCAGGCCGCCTCCAGGGGGAGAGGGAGCGACCCCAGGCTGCAGCCAGCGAGGCGCACCGGGCGGCGGGGAGCGGCGAACTGACACATGCACAGCGCGCCTCGCAGCGCCTGACACGCGATTGTCTTCGGCTGCAAGCTGCCACCTCAGCCCCCGCGAGGAGCACCCGGGAGCTGCAGGGAAGGGGCGGGGAGGGGGCGCCGGGGAGCAGGCGGCTGGCTGGCTGGCGAGGGAGAGCGGGTCCTTGCGCAAAAGAAACGCCAAAGCTTCGCTCGCTCGCCCGCCAGATGCGCGCGCCCGCACGTGCGCTCCCACAGCTGGATGGGCGGCACGCGTGTGTGCTGGCTGGACAAGCGCGGAGAGGCGGAGCCTGCGGCTGGGGGGGAAGGAAAAAGGGGAGGGACGCGAGTCGCCTTTTCTCTCTTGGCGTTTGTTCTTTTTAACGGACTTGTACAAGGAGGACATGTGACCCAGCTGCTGTGTCCCAGCCTCCCAAGATTGGGTGACTATCAACTCTCCCACCCCTCTTGTACAGCCCCCGGGCAGAGGAAACGGGGGACGAGGAGGGGGAGGCTGAACTCCCGTCTTACAAATCCCCTTTGCCTTCGTTACCTCCAGCTTTGTTCTGCTCACTCCTTCTTCCTCACCGAGGGGAAGGAGGGACAGAAGGGCAGCTACTAGGACAGACCACACAGCTATCTTTCCCAAATGCAGTATATTCTTTTGGATCCAGCCACTGGCAGCAATGGCACTTATAATAAAGTCATTTCCAGTCTGCCCTTCCCCAGGAGTGGTACCTGCTGCTGTCTTGGAGCACAAGAAAGCACCAGCATCAATAGAGAAAATGTGACCTGAAGCTAGGGATTCAACAGGCTGAGTTTATAAGGTGTCTAAAGTGCACTTGATTAACATAATGAGTCAGGGGATGTTAATGCGGGGTTACCCTCTTATTAGATAGTTTCAGTGGGAGTTTGCTGTATCTAGTAAAATGTGATTTACCATATGGCAGCAGGTTGTGAAATGATAGGCAAACAGACTTGTGTTCTGCTTTTCACGAAGCCTAAGGATTGTGACCAGAGAAACTTCTGCTTGATCAATTTAATGATAATTTTATCAAGGTGTGGAGATTTTACAAGATTTGCTAACATTACAAGGAAGGGACCCAAAGACACCACATTTGAAGGCTGTGGGCATGTATTTTATTTACACACTGCTTGTTTGGACAGGTTGGCATTTTTAAGTGGAACATTCATTCCAAAGCTGCACTGAGATACTCTTGTGCATTTCCAGAAGCAGCCTGCCCGCTCAGCATTTCTTGGACCAAATTCTTTTGCTGTCACATCCCTGAAGTCAAAGGGGCTCCACTGCAAGTGAGAGAAAAAAGTTAACTCCCAGTGAACAGGAAGCAGGAAACATAGCTAGCAGTGTGACTGCTCCATATTCTGCATTACATTGCTCAGGCCTAGCTCAGCCACTGCTCAGCATCAATGCACTTCCTGCCTGCAGAGCAGGGAAAAGTGGGTGTGGCTATGGTGACCAGATAGCAAGTGTGAAAAATCAGGATGGGGGACTGTGTGGAAGTAATAGGGTCCTATATAAGACAAAGCCCCTAATATTGGTACATCTGGTCATCCTAGATGTGTCAGAGTTGCATAGGAGTGTGTAAGGCTGTGGTGCCATTGGGGGAGGGGGAGAATACTTCCCCCTGAGTTTCCGTACAGGAAGTGTGCGAGCTCCCAGATGGAGGTTTTAACTACAGCACAGCATTAGTGTGAAATGTAAATTCTGTGGAGGAGATGTGCTCCTGGGGCAGGGAGTCAGTATTTTGTTTACAAACAGAAGCAGGGTGATTAAGATAAGAAAGGGATGGTGATTAAATTAAGGATCTGGAAGTTTAGCCTGTAAAACAGGAATCCCTCTGTGGAGGTGAAGGTGGAGGGGGAGAGGGAGAGGGGGGTTCTTTTAGAGGGAACACAAGGGACTCAGAAAAAATACAGCCAGGCAACTCTGAGCCAAGGTTACATTGAGAAAAGGGGGAGATTTGGGAGTGTAGCCTGAAAAGGGGCCAAAACCAAGAGAATTCCACATTTTAAATGTGGCTCAGATATTTAAGTATGAAAGGTATAGTTATTAAGCACATGTTAATATATGTGAGTGGAGGCACTGATGGCAATAGAAGTTTTATGGATTAAGGACTAGAAGATTTGACCCTCCAACTTTCTTTCAAGTGGAAGAGCTGCCCAGAGCTTCTGTGCCTGTTTATTTTCCTTTCCTGCTTGCAGTGGCCCTGATATACCTCAAAAGTCTCAATTTTTTTCTCAACTTTAAAATATGGAATTCTCTTGGTTTTTGATTTTAAATATTCTCCTGTGAGAACTGCAACTCAATCACTGTAGTGTTGTGTTTAAGAGCCCTCTGGAAAGTAACTAGCCTTTAAACAGAAGTGAAAGCAGTGTTGCCAACTCTCATGATTTTGTCATGAGTCTCATGATAATTATTTCAGAAGGGTAGCCGTGTTAGTCTGTATCAGTAAAAACAATGAGGAGTCCTTGTGGCACCTTAGAGACTAACAGATTTATTAGGGCATAAGGTTTCATGGGATATAACTCACTTCATTACATGCATGGAGTGGAAAATACAGGAAGCAGGTATAAATATACAGCACAT